GCTCTTGGCGGTTCTCGTAGAAGAGCTGAGAGCTGAAGATGGCCTCCAGGGCCTTGTTGTTCGCCTCCTGGGCGCACAGAGCCAGCATCTCGTCCAAGAGGGCCAGCTCGTGCTCCCGCATGGCACTCACTTGCCCCAGCGTGTGCCTGACGAGGCGCAGGATCTTGCGGTTGTTGATCAGCTGCTGGTCAGAGGCCGGGTGTCCCTGCAGCGCCTGCGCCCGCAGCCGGTAGTAGGAGAGGAGCAGAAAGAGGGTCTGGGGATGGCGCTCCTTCTCCAGGTGCCGCTCCAAACTGCTGAGGCAAGACTCGACCAGGGGGTGAGGGCTGGACGGGTGGAGCCGCATCACGCTGCTGAAGACCATGGAGACGTCCTTCTGGTTGAAGCGGCCCAGGCGGCTGCGGGATTCCTCCTCCAGCACCCGCACCAGCGGCGATTCCCCAGGCAGGCCTGCGACAGGGAAGGCATTAGGGACACCCGGACCCCACCTCTCATCTTCGCTAGGCACGACTGTCCTCCTAAGCTCAGGCAGGAGGCTGCAGCCGGAGAAGGACAGATTCGCCGTGCTGGCGATGAGAAAGGGAGAGAGGATGAGTTTGACAAAGCCTGACCAGAACATCAGTGCATCTGCACCATGGGGAAAAGTCACTTGGAGCCATTGGATCGTTCCCACCCACTCCACCAAAATGGAAGTCCTTTACCTCACCCGTGAAAGCCAGGTTTATTTCTTAAGACTCAAACTTCTTAAAGATAAATAATACACCTCAAAAAGTACTTTAAAAAAAAAGTTCTGGTTGCAAAACAAGTAAGACATCAGCACATTACCAAAACAAAAACTGTCCGTGCATGACAGGAATTAATCCTTTCACGCGTCTAACTGTCTCCCATTTTCTAGTTGAGTCTTTCAAACTCGGCTCCTGGGGAAAATACTTTCCTCCAACTCTGGACGTATTATTCAGCCATGGAAAGACAAGAGGCCAGGCACACAGTGCGGTTATGGAAAAAGGCAAAGGCCATCCCTCGTGTGTCAGGAGAGATATTTTCAGGAGATGCATGAAGCATTATGCACTGTATGAGGCCCTGGTAGCCCACTGGTCTCCTAAGCCGGCTGACAAGATTTCAATTTTCAAAAGGGCTTTAAAGCAACTAAGGCAGCATGGGGTAAGTTGCTGCATTTTATCATTAATCCAAAATCAGTCAGAAGGTGGAAAGTGAAGAATTGGTCTGAGCAGTTGCTTTGTTCCTTAGAAAGGCCTCCGAAAGGCGGGTTAGCATTTTTATTAATGAGCGGGTAAGCGTGGTGAGCAGGGAAGGGTGACTGACGGAGAACAAAGTGTGGGTCAAAACCAGAGCAGGCCGGGGGGAGCCCTGCCGGGGGGAGCGGCGCCTGGCAGCCCAGAGTTCAGTGTCAACAAACACAAGGTGCCGCGAGACGGAGGGGGGACGAGCAGAAACGTCCTCTTCCCCCCCTTCAGCGGGATCTAGAGTTACTGCATCAACCATGACCGGGACCGGGCGGCTCCATACGCAGCTCAGCTGAGAGCTCAGCCCAGCACGCAGCTGCGGTGGGAAAGAAAAAAAGCAAACAGAATGGCAGGAGACGAGCGGGTGGGACGCCGGGCTGGCAGGAACCGCTGGCGTGGGGA